CACCTCTCCACGCTGATGGCCGTGAGGACGTAGAGGCTGGTGCTGTAGGTGAGCAGAACCATGGAGTGAAACAGCGGCAGCGCCCGCAAAAGCCCCGGCTGAAAGCAGCTGAGCATGGGCATATGATATATGACGAGGAACGCCGACGCGCAGAGCAGGAAGCAGGCGTCGGCGACGGCCAGGTTCAGGAGGTACGCGGTGAAGGGGTTCCTCCTGACGCGGAAGCCGAGGAGCCAGAGGATTGCCCCGTTCCCCGCCAGCCCGCACAGGCAGACGAGCAGCGTGATGCTACCGGTGACGATTTCGGGGACGTGTTCTTCAAAGCACCTGGTCCCATTGTGTCCGTCCCCATAGACCACGCTCTCCGTAGGCGCCGGGGACGCCGCGCGCCAGTCACGGGTCATGTGGCTGGGAGGTCGGTCCATCTTCCTCCTCTCTCTCTCGCGCTCGCCTGGGGAAAGGCAAGAGATGAGGGCAAAATTAGTGACTCTCAGCTCCCCAGCACTGTGAATGTCCTCCGGTCATCCGGTCTTCCCCCCTCCTCCGTGGGCTGCAACATCTGCAACCCAGAGAAAGTAAGATCTGAGCAGAGAAAAAATGAAAGAAGGGAAGGGAAGGGAAGGGAAGGGAAGGGAGGAATAGGAATAGGAATAGGAATAGGAATAGGAATAGGAATAGGAATAGGAATAGGAATAGGAATAGGAATAGGAATAGGAATAGGAATAGGAATAGGAATAGGAATAGGAATAGGAATAGGAATAGGAATAGGAATAGGAATAGGAATAGGAATAGGAATAGGAATAGGAATAGGAATAGGAATAGGAATAGGAATAGGAATAGGAATAGGAATAGGAATAGGAATAGGAATAGGAATAGGAATAGGAATAGGAATAGGAATAGGAATAGGAATAGGAATAGGAATAGGAATAGGAATAGGAATAGGAATAGGAATAGGAATAGGAATAGGAATAGGAATAGGAATAGGAATAGGAATAGGAATAGGAGGGAAAAGCTTGGGCCCAGGGTGGCAGGAGACAGACAGAGAGCTGGCAGAGAAGAGGAGGGAGGAAGAAAAGACGTGCAGAGCCACTCTCCCTTTAAGGACTGAAAAGGGCTGCGGAGGTGGAGGGGAAGAACGGAAAGGCCGAAGGCAGAGCAGCGCTGCGTGCCCCAGTGGCAGGAGCAGAGGTCACCCCCAGACCCCTCTCACCGGGGGCAGGGGGGTCCGGCGAGGGCAGAGCCCTTGCACAGCCTTGGAATCCCAGAGCCGCAAACCCCAGTCCTCTCCGTCGGACTTGCACGTGGAATTTTACAAAGCTGCCACGCCAAAACCCTCCCGGATGAGATGTG